AATGAACATGCCCAGTTGGTCCTCTGCTCCTCTCAGATGACTAAGAGCATAGGTGGATGTGCTCACCCCTGCCACCTAGTGGGCACATTAACAAAGTATATCAAGTTGTCACTTTTGAGGCTATTCCAAGAATTTTGTATTACTCTAATCATTTCTGGAACTCCTGTTTTGGAACTCTTTCTCCAGTGACTAAAATCCAAAAGTCTTTTGACTGTACTTGATGGTGAAAGGTCTTTGTCTTTGGTTTTTGGAACAAACCAAAAGTCATTGGGAGCCAAATCTGATGATTCAGCCAAGGAAGAGTCATTTTGGTAACATAAATAAATAAACAAACAAACAAACAAATAATAAATAAATGAATGACTGAATGAATAAATAAAATTTAAAAATTAGTTGTGACTATAATTAATTTGGAGAAGAGTTTCTTTGGTGACTCCTAGGCTGGCCCTGAAGGCAATTCTCAAAATGCAATTTCAGAAATGTGAGCCATGACAGCCCCCACTGGAATCAGTGTGGTTCCTCTGGAACTGCTTTCAAAGGCAGCCCTCATCTGGATGGAGGTGTAAGTTCTAGTACTAAAAAATGAAACAACAAAAAAAGTCCTTTTATCGGATAGTCATACTTCCTGCATATGTGAAAAGGTTACCTGATTCTCCTTGAAAGGAGTGATTTCATCATTGCAGAAACCTTCAAGCATGGAAATTCTCTCCATGAGTACAGATCAGTGATTTATCCTTTTATCCTAGGGTGCTCTGAGATTAAATGGTTTGATCATGGTCATGCAGTTAGTTTGTATCAGAGGAAGGATTAGAATCTAGTTCTTCTGGATCTAAGGCCTAACCTCTCTTCATTGAGACAGCCACATTGTCCGTCAATGAACGACTAAGTGACAGTAATAATAATAGCTGGTATTTATATAGGATTTTAAGGTTTGCAAATCACTGTACATATAGGCATTATTATTATAGGCATTATTCCCATTCTATAGGTGGAGAAACTGAGGTTCAGAGGGCTGAGGTTCAGCATTTTCTTCTCAGAGGGCTTACCTCATACTTCATTGAAAAAATCCAGGTCATCTGTCAGGAACTTCCTCTGCTCTGATGGTTTCACACCTCAAAGCACTTTAACATCAAGTCCCACTCTCTCTTCTGTACCAATCCCAGAATGAAAAGGCCCTTCTCACTGACACCAAGCTTCTCTATTTAACCTTCTGATTCTCCTGCAAGTTTGCCCTTCTGATCATTCCTCTCTCTCCCTAATTTTCAACTTTTCTTTATTAACTGGCTCCTTGCCTGTTACCTTCAAACATGCACAGATGGGCAAGTAAGCCCAAGAGCCCTGGGAATAACAGTACCCCTCCCTAGGATTACTGGCTCTGTTTCAGACAGGTTACAGACCCACCATCCGAGGCAACAACTACAAGGGGCTCACCATCCCTGCCACCATCTCCACCAACTGCAGATCAACAGCTACCATTGGGCAGATAAGAAACTCTATCTCTTGATTCCAGGTATTTTTCACTGGCTGTCCCCCATGCCTGGAATTTTCCCCCTCCCCATCTTTACCTCCTGACTTTCTTTTGTTCCCAGTTAGAATCCTGCGTTCTACAAGAAGCCTTTCCTATTCCCCATTAATTCCAGTGCCTTCCTTTCGAAAGCATTCTCTTTTTTTCTGGGGGGTTCCCAAGTTTATTGGAAAGAGGGCAAAAATAAACATTAAACAGCTCTTCCTGGTGTTTTGAAGCTCATCCCAACTGTGGGCTGGGTGACTTGCAGGTTGGACAAACTGCCAAAGTCCAGGAGTTTTGACATTTCTTTGGTCTCAGGGTCCACTTCAGTGATTTCCTGATCCAAAGCAGAGACCTCCTTTCTCTTTCTTTTTCCTGTAGTTTGATGGAGATATCTCCCACAGGGCCTGTCTGGATACACTTCATCAGATGAGTAACATATCCCACCACCTTGTTGTGGAGTTTCTTGCTGGGGATGATGGCAATCTCCTCAAACACACATGTATTTGTTGGTGTGGAAGTCATTGCCCAGGTGGGTATAGTACTTTTCGATGATGACTCGAGCCACCTTCTTCGTGGTCTTGGTCTGAACATGACCCATGTTGGCTCTGGAGGGTGAAGGGAGAAAGTATTTTCAATTTAGCCTTTAGCAGAGACTGTCTTCTGTCTTTCTATGTATCCCCAGAGCTTGTGGCACATAGTAGGTGCTTAATAAACAGTTAATATATATTTATTTATTATACATATTTATAAGTATATATTTATTTATAAAAATAATAAATATATTTATTGATTGACTATTATTGACTGAGGTAAGTACAAGAGTGCCTAGAACAGAACTGCCTCATCCCCCATCCCCTACCCCATACAACTATCTATGCTTTCAGCCACAATCCAGGAAAGCAACCCTTGAAGACAGGCACCTGCCTCTGCAGGTGCTGCAGCTCCTGGCCTTCTCAGCAGCCTCAGCCACTGAGAATTCAAAAGAAAAAGTCCTTGGCACAGCCAAATGGTTCAACATTTCAATCTGATAGGGCCTTATTAATAGCTTAACCTTCTGTCTCTAGGTTAGACCCATGTCTGATGAGGCAAATTTTTAAATGGCCTGACTTTGTACTAATTTTGCTCTTGGACATATAGTTATGAAATGGTTTTTGCTTATGCCCCCAGTTAGATAAAACTATCTAATAATGAGTTGGGGGGGTGGCGGGAGGTACGATCCCAGCCCTGCCCTAGGAAAGGTCTTTGAGAGGTCTGTTACAATAAAAATGACACCAAAGAAGATACATTTTTATTTCCTTTGCCTCTGAACCCTAAACATCACTGGGCCTTTCCATCTGACTTACAGCTATTGTTGTTTTTCAGTTGTGTCCGACTTTCTGTGACCCCATTTGGGATTTTCTTGGCAAAGATACTGGAGTGGTTTGCCATTTCCTTCTCCAGCTCATTTGACAAATGAGGAAACTGAGGCAAACAGGATTAAGTGACTTGCCCAGAGTCACACAGCTAGTAAGTGTCTGAGGCCACATTTGAACTCACAAAGATGAGCCTTTCCAACTCTAGGCCTAATACTCTATCCACTTCACCATCTAGCTGCAGCTATATGTGTTCCTTTTTCCTATATGTGTTTTCTTCTTCTATTAGAATGTGGGGTCCTAGAAAGCTGGAACCATCTTGCTTTTCTATTTGCATCCCCAGAACTTAACACAGTGTTTTGCACATCGTAAGTTCTTAATAAATGCTTTTCATTCATTCACATATACCCAGATCACCCTCCATCCTTAAAAAAAAAAAAAACCCAACAACCTCTTTATTTGACTCTACTCTTCCTCCATTATATTCCTACCTCTCTCTTCTACTTCACAACCAAACTGCTAGAAAACTGTTGCCTCCATTTTATCACCTCTCACTCTCTTCTCAGCCCCTTGAAATCTAGCTTAACTAAAACTGCTTTCTCCAAGGTCAGCAGTTATTAAACATTCATTAAGCACCTACTATTTACTAGGCTGTAATCATTAATGGTTTCTTTATTGTTAGATCCTAAGTTTGTTTCTCGGTGCTGACTTCTTTTTTTTGTTTGTTTTTGTTCCCTTTTTAGGCAATTGGGATTAAGTGACTTGCCCAGAGTCACACAGCTAGTGAGTGTCAGGTGTTTGATCTGAGGTCGGATTTGAACTCAGGTCCTCCTGACCTCAGGGCCCAGTGCTCTATCCACTGAGTCATCTAGCTGCCCTTGCTCATGACTTCTTTAAAGCCTTTGATACTACTGACCCCTTCCTTCTAGATATTTCCTTCTCCCTGGGATTTTATGACATTGCACTTTGAGACTCCTACTTGTCTGACCAATCCTTCTCAGTCTTCTCTGCAGGATTATTATCCATGCCCCAACCCTTGTACGTGAATGTATCCCAGGGTTATATCCTGGGCATTTTCCTTTTCTTTCTCTATGCTCTCATTTTTATCTCAGAAGCAAAAATGGATTTAATAACCATCTTTATGCAAATGATTCCTAAATCCACACATCTAGCCCTCATCTCTATCTTAAGTTCCAGTGCCTGCATGACAACCCACATGTATGTCTCCTAGACAGCAAACATGGCCAAAAAAGGACTCATCTTTTCCCCAACACCTGCCTCTCTTCCAAATTTCACTGAATCTTGTCAAGGATGATGATGAAACATGATGCCCACCTGATGACAGAAGGGTGGTTCCAGGCTCAGTCTGACTCAGACCAGTTCGCTGGTAGCTCAGTTTCAATTCAGGAACAAAATGAGACACTTGCAGATCATTTAACAGTTAACAATAAGTGATTTACTCATTGATATCAGAAAAAGGATAGAATGATATTCAACAAGCAGAGGAACTGAGGACCTCTTGAGTTTTAAGCTGAATGAAGCCACTTCGCTGAAGTTGCCCCTCACATCCTACCAGCCAAGCATCAGAGACTGTCTGGAGCTCCTCACAGCTGTTTTGTACTTAAGTAACCCGGAAGTGATGTCAACACCCCAAGTCTTTGGTCAGCTTAGCCAGCCTGGTCTCAGGGATGGGTTCAATATCTTTTAAGGAAAAACTAGCCTAACTTGCATGAATTTTTATTAGAATATTGCTCCTCCCACAGAGGTGATGGATTCAGGGTGCAGAATAAGACATATATTTTGGATATGGCCAATGAAGGAATTTTTTTTTGTTTGACTTGTGTATTTGTTACAAGGTTGTTCTTTTTTGTTTTTGTTTTTTTTCCCCAAAGGGTAGGTGAGCAGAGAAAATGATTTGGTTAAATAAAAAAAATTAAAAATATAAGAATTGCTTGATAAAAAACATACATAGTTTTTAAAGTTGGAAAAAATAGGTCATTTTGACACTTCTTTTACCCTAAAACTAAACCCTAAAGAATGGCTTACATTGACTTCTCTTCCAAATTAAAGATTGTTAAATGTAAAAAAAAAAAAAAAGTTTAAAAAATTAAGTAAATTCTGTCAAGAGTGCTTTTCTTGTGCTTTCTTCGGCAGCACATGCACTAAAATTAGAATAATACAGAGAAGATTAGCATGGCCCATGTGCAAGGATGACATGCAAATTCGTGAAGTATTGCATTTCTTTTCAGTTAAAAAGAGCATTTTCTTTGGAGAGACCCTAGACATGAGCCATACCTAAATTTTGTTTTAGAAATTTCACTGGAAAGTTATTCTGGGGTGGGAGCAGAACCAAGAGGAGAAACTGATTCTCTCTGGGGTCAGGCTTCCCCAAGATGAATTATGGATCTAAGACTAGTTCCCCCTGGGGTCCCTAGGCCTCTGGGTATATTTGGACCACCAGCATCATGTATAGTACCTGGCACATAGTAGGCACTTAATAAATATTTGTGGATTGATTGATTTGTCCATATTCACAAAACTAGTTGACTTAAGAGGAGCATCTCAAAGCCCAGTTCCTCCAGAATCTATGTCTAGAATTATTTCATCTGTATCAGGTGTCTTGGGAAAGGAGGGGAAAAAAAACTGGCTTATTCAATGGAGGTTTACTTACATGTAATTAATCCATAATTCAATGGGCCTCCTGAATCCCTAAGACAAAAAAGACCAGAACTGCCCTTTTGGATGTCTTTCCATTTTTCTTCTTTCAGTCTCTTCTTGATATTCACTATAAACTGATGGGACCTGGGACTTCTCACTGGCATAGGGAGCTCCCATATAAAGGAGTTCCTTCTATAAATGCAGATTGGCAGAGTCTTAGAAAGTTGCCTAGAGTACTGAGTGACTCACAGTCAGTTTGTGTCAGTGTCTGAACTTGAACTCAGGTCTTTTTAGCTCCAAAGCCAGCTTTCTATAGACTATACACCACACTGCTCTTATTAACCCAAATATGCCTATACAAAGATGCTGTGACCTTGGGGGATCAAGGTGGGCCTCATGGAAGGAGAACTTCAGATGGGAAGGGTATCTCTCATGCAGAGGAGATCCTGAGGGACACTGGGGTGGTATTCTGCTAGAGTGCTCTGAATCAGACAGGAAGTGGGGGCAGGACATTTGAAGAGAAGTAGGTGGGTACATTTGAGATAACTAGTGGATATAATTCTGCTAACTAGTGGATATAACTAGATAACCCTGGTCTCGGTTTAGAAGTCCTAGTTGTTTGTCCTTCTAACTCCTATAATCTAAGGAAAGCCCCTTCCCTTTTCTGGGCCTCTGTTTCCTCCCCTTTATAAAAGGATGGGCGGGGGGAAGGGTTTGAAGCTGATGATTGCTCAGGTCTCTTCCAGATCTGGTGCTCTTGGGCTGTAAACCCTTCCCCACCCCCTTTCCCTTTCCCTCCCTATTGTACACAGCACAGCCCCTACCTTTTCTGAAGGCGAGACCATAAAGGCCTGACACAGAGCCAGGTGGGAAGCTTTCCATGAGCCTGGCTCTGGCTCCGAGCCAATGGGAGCAGAGCCCAGGCAGGCAGGGTTTGCCCGTGGATGTTTATGGCAGGCGGATACATAACATAAAGAAACAAGAAAATGATGGGTACTGGAAGCCAGGTCGAGCACATAGTAGCCGAATCGGGACTAGAAACCGGCTTTTTGGGATTGCAACAGCCTTTGGGGTCGCTGGCTTCTCAGAAACAGGGGGCAGAGGCGAGCAACGGCCAAGGAGAATGGGCAGGGCTCATCTGCCAAGCCAGACTCCCACTGCTGAGGTCACCCTGAGTATCAGGATCACATCCCAGCTCCTCAGCCACCCCCTGAGCCAACCGCCTTCTCCACTCCGCTTCTCCTCCCTCTTTCCACCTCCCTGCACAAAGTTCTAATCATCTCCATCGTATCTCTCAGCTCCTGGGTGACCGTGGGGAGCTCCTGGGACACAGCTACTAGGAGCCACCAGGAGAAGGCGGCATCTCAGTAGGGAGGCTGGAGATCTGGAAGACAATTTGATTCACGACTACAGAGTCCATGGGGAAAAGAGACCGAGCAAGAAGACCAGATTCACTCTGACTCCTGGGGAAAGCGCATGGCACGGGAAGCCAGTAGTTCTTGGTTCGAATCTTGACGCTGCTCTCAACTTGTTAGATGACTTTTGGCTAATGATTTTGCCTTTCTGGGGCTCAGTTTTCACATCTGTATAAACTAGTGGTGGTGGTAGAGGAGGGTGTGGGCTGGATTAGTTTTCTAGATGATCTGGAAAGTCTTTTCCAGCTCTAGACCTCTATGATTTCTTGTGACTCCTTGACCTGCCTCATTCAGATAAGGTGGATAGAGTGCTGGGCTTGGAGTTGGGAAGTCTTGAATTCAAATTTGACCTAACACTATGACCTTGGGCAAGTCACTGAACCTCCATCTTCTTCACCTTCCCATCTGTAAAATGGGCATAATAATAGTACCTACACACGAGATAATATTTGTAAAGTGCTTTGCAAACCTTAAATTGCCGCATAAATGTTAACTATTATTATTCATCTCTCCCATTGTGGGACAAAGAGCAGCCCCAGGAGATTTAAAATCATCTAAAGGAAGAAGTGAAAAATCACTGAAAGCAACAGAGGTGTCCAGGATAACTGATAAAGACTAGCTCCCTTCCAAAGGCTCAGCAGCTTGGGAGGGCTGTAACAAACTGACTGGGGATCAGACTAAAGACAATTCCGAGAGAAGACGGGGAAGAACCCAGGCCTCATACAATCATTTTTTTCCCTTCCCCTACACAATTATTCTGCAGGTGGGAGTTCTTTGTCTCTCCTCTCCTAATATCATCTCTAACTCTTCCACCAGAGATGCACTCTGTCAGTTATAATTTCTAGCTCTTTTGGACATCCTCCTGGACCCTCCTTCATCTATGTTTTAGGTTAATTCTCCAAACCTGTTCCTGCTTCCTGCCTTTAGCTGGCTTGTCTTTCTCCTGAGACAGGAGCAGGGCAGAGGAGAGCCCAGCTGAATGATTGATGAACCACCAGCTAGTTTCTAACGAACACTGCGGGAAGGCAGGAAGGAAGGGATCGCCATGCTACACTTCTCAGCTGGATCTTTTTTCCTGCCCCCATCTCATTGCAAGGCCTCTCTGGGTGGTCCTGGAGAAACTGCCCCTAGCCCCCAGCACCAATTTTTTTATATGGTGAAACAGAGGCCCCCAGAGAGGGAGGTACTTTGGAATAGTGGAAAATGTACTGGCCTTGAAAATGGAAAACTGGTCCTCAAGTATCAGCTCAGTCACTGACTAAGTGACCTCTCACAAGTTATTTCACCTCTATCCAAGCCTCAGTTTCCTCATCTGGGAAATGAGGATACTATATATTCTCCCATACTTACTTTATAGATATACTGTCAGGCTCAAATGACATAGCAAATGCAAATGTGTGCTTTGTAACCCTAGAGCATTATACAAATGTATGTAAAGTCTGGGCCACTCTCTCTTACCTGTGGGTCATCCCAGAAAAGCTGCCCCAGGGTCAAGGTATTCTGTGGTTAAAACCATAGCTCACAAGCAGAGGTGTGCTGGTGAGTGTTTAACAACCTACTGGAGGTGGGGTGGGGGAATGGATTAACGACATATTTTTATGTTTAATCTGCATTATTAGTCTTTCCCCAGCACTTTTAAAAGTCTATGACAATCAACAGCACAATAAATGAAGCCTTGATTTAGTGTGTTATAAGCATGCTGAAATTTAACAATCAGCTCAGGCAAATTAGAACTGGCTCCAGTACACCCCTGCCATAAGCCCCCATGGAGGATAAAATTCAAGGCAAAGAGGTTTAATTAAATCCTCCTTCCCTAAATTGGGCAGTTTCCCTCGGACATATACAAATTATTAGTGGTAGGAGCAGGTTCACCTAGGAATCCTGCATGGGGAATGCTCACGTACGTGTAATGGTTGTTGCATGCAGGAACAGATATAGCAGCTTATTATCTTTTGGTGATGTCCCTGAGTTGTTCTGCTGGGCCTGCTTCCCTCTGGCCTTCACACGGTAGTCCTTGCCTCTTTGTTAGGCTGTTCTCACTGATGCCACCTACTGGGCTTCAGCTGTGGTTTCCCATAAGAGGAGGAGTGAATTTGTTTTTGCTTTTTTTTCATATATTTTTTTTAAAGCTTCTATCCCAGAGGCCAAGTTTTAGCATTTTTAATGAGAAAGGCAGGCCCTCACATTCCCAGGACTAGAACTTTGCCTCCTAAAGGAGAGAGATCTGTCAGCAACCAAGATCTAAACTCTTTTGGAACACAATTGTAGCCAACCAATTAATTAGGGCTTATAGGCCTTTGTAGACTTGTCTTTTGAACTCTACTTCCTCCTGATAGAATAGAACTCATTGACCTGAGCCAATATCTAATTTAAGATTAGAAAGTCCCTATCTATCTCTAATCATATCCTGATTATCAATCTGCATTTTCCTACCCCCAAACATTGGAGGTTTTTTTCATGGATGACCATTTGCATTCCGACAAACTAGAAAAGTTTATATGGTTCTTGGGTACAGTGGCTTACATCAGCCCCTTCAAATATTCTGGGTCTTAGCATGCAAATAAAACGGGTAAGAGGAAGGTAAGAACAAAGAAGGTAGATAAGAGATTTTAGGAGGTATTGCCCTCACAGTATCTCAAATCCTTTGTTTTCTTTTGTTTGGAAAAGGCCTTTGCAATCATCGAGATAAGGGATAACCTATTAGAATTTTGTAAAATAATGTCTGCTCATTAAAATTGTATAACATGAATTTTGCATGATATTTTTGTGAAGAAAGTTAATTTCTGGATTATTTGTGAATTCTGCCGCATGGACTTTGAAAAAAAAAACAACAACAAACCAAACCAAACCAAACCAAACCAAATCAAACACCCTAGTGGGATTTCATTTCTCCTCTTCAGATGTTTGTGTGTATGTTGTTGAATATGACTCTTTGTGACTCCATTTGGGATTTTCTTGGAGTGGAATGGTTTGCTATTTCCTTCTCCAGCTCACTTGACAGATGAAGAGCTAAGGCAAATAGGGTACAGTGACTTACCCAGTGTCACGCAAAATATAGTAAATATCTGAGGCCACATTTGAACTCACAACGATGAATCTTCCTGACTCCAGACCCAACAATATATCCACTGCACCACCTAGATGCCCTGTTGGTGTGTATACACATATATAT